TATAGTAATTTATATATAGAACCACGTCACGTTTCACTATGATCATTCTTCAGTTGACTGGAGAATCGTCAATTAAATATATTAATAAATTTTTTTTATACCTGTGAATTAAATTGATAGAAATAAAATAATTTAGAATTATATTATTTAAATATAAAATAGTAAACAAATAATATATTTAATGTAATTAATTTATACTTACTTTAAATAATAGTTTTAAAGAGATAATTTTAAAATATAAATTCAAATTCAATACTATTTCTATTTTTTATATTATATCTTTAGTCATGTTTTTTTCAAGATTTATTACCATATAGCACTGCATTCAATACTCTCCCAGAATTGTATCCTACTAAATTAAAACCTTATTATTGTTGTTTAATTTAATTATGTTTGTATAGTTATTTTCATCCCATAAATATAACCCTTGTCTAAGAATCATTTGAAGTATTTCTCTGGATTTTACTTTGGATACAAATTAAGTTGGGGTTTTTTGATTTGTACTCTGGATACTAAATGCAGTGTCTTATGATAACAACTTTCATTAAGTTTACAAACATTACTATTATAGTGAACTCTTGAGAATTATTAAATATTGATATAGTGATATTAAGATCAAAAGTGGCTAAATAAAATTATCTAATTATAGTAAATTCATTAATAAAGTTTTGTTATAATGTTTTGCTATAATGTTTAATAGCTAAGAAATTTTCAATTGGCTATGCTAAAATCTGAACTTATTTTAATTTGAAATTTTAAAAATTTTTAAAGTATTTGTTTTTGCTTTTTTTATAGTTATGTTAGAATTAATAATCAAATAATATATGTGGTTTTAATAGGCTTATATTTTTAAATTGAAAATATTAAATTTTAGTGTTAGCATTAGCCATAATATAATTTTTAAGATCAATTTTTAATGAAGACACAACTTTTAAATTTAAAAATTTGCTCAATTTTTTTTTTTTTTTTTTTTTTTTTTTTACAAAAAATAAAGAGAATAATTTTGTATAAAGTTAAAAAAAAGCAGTATACTTCATTGATTAAGTAAAATTATAAATTCTAACCAAGCTTTTAAGCTACATCCAACCAATTTTTTTGACACATTAATGCAGCTATCGTATTTGGATCCAATGAAGCATGATTATCATCAATAATATGGTCTGCACAGCTAAACATCTGTTCAGATGTAATGCTTGTAACAGGTATAGCAAGAAAGTTTTGAGCCATTGCAGACAAATTAACAAATTAACTATTATTATGTTTCCACCATTCAAGTATATTAGTTTCTTTCATAGCTATTGCTTCATCTAAATATTGGGTTACTTCACAAAGTAAGCCATTTTTATTAATTTGAGTTTGTCTTGCTGTATATTCAAAAAAGTCTTCAGCATGATTTTTAAATGTTGATATACTATTTTTAGTAGCAATTAGCTCATGATTACTAGTAATAGTTAATGAGTAATACATATAAATGAAGATAGATATCTTCAAATCTAAATTTTAATCATATTAGAGTTTAAAAACAATACAACATTAATTTAATAAATATTATTGATAACGATACTCTGGTCAACAACAACAAAACTGAACTACAGCAAAACGTATAGAAAAGTAACAAAGTGGATACTAAAACTTGGTCCTATAAGTAGGAGCAGCTTGTTGTCGATGAAGTCTAAGCTGTCTAACCATGAAATACTAAGGAGCAGGCACCAAAAAGAACGGACAGTTTTCTTTAGGATCAAGTTTTCTTTCTGGTAGATTTCCCAAAGTATTTGGCATCCAAATCAGAAGGTTTATTCTGGGAACAAGTCTGTAGAAGTAGCCAAAAGTGCACTCCTAAGTGGTAGAAATGGAGAAGCTAAACTATACAACTGTAAAACTTACAAGAAGAACTTCACATACTCTTGTTGGCCTACTACTTTTTTTGAGAAAATTTTTGTAAAAAGTGTGCATTTTAGCTTACCCCTCCAAATGATTGATATCACGTGTACTAAACAAGTTGGCATTGTTTATCTCCCAAATCAGAACATAACAATAAACATGTGTATACATGTGCCTCGAATGCAATGGATATCTGTACAAATGATACTCCGAGACTCTGTTCTGACCTCTCTACCTTAAGCCGGTCAATAAAGTTTTTCCTATTGGGTTTTTACTTTCACATACTAGTTTAGTGAAAAATAGAAGTAGAGACTAATTTGTCTAGTCAGTATGTAATTTTTCAAAGCCACCCACAGGCTGATAACTGTGCCATTAAGATTAGCAAATTTCTGTTTTGTTTTTGTTTTTTTTTGAGATTCCTTTACCCCTTTTTTTTCATATTCTGTATTCTTTTACCATATTCTCCATACCTCTGTGTTTTTTTTTGTTTGTTTGTTTTATTTTCTGATTTTGCTTCTTGATGAGTAGGTAGCCGCCAGCCAATGAACAATGAGAAAAAATTTTTAGTGAGTTAAGGACCCTGAGGAAGGCCAAGAGCTATTGAGGCAGATCGCACCTGGTGCATAAAATCACATGGTTGAGTTCTTTGTTTGGTTGGATCTACTTTAGTTAAAGATAAATTACTTGTAATTTTGAATAACTTGATCCCAAATAAACAAGAGCAGGATTGCCAAATTATAAAAAAAATAATTTTATTAATATATATAATATTAAAATATTTTGATATAATAATTAGCAATTTTTTAGTTATTTTGTTTGCTTCTTAGAATTGTTTTTTAATTTTATTTATATTATTTGAATTTATATATATTTAGTTTTCAAATTTATTTTAAATATTATTATGAATAGACTATTTTTTGAATCCAAATTAATATATTGCAAAACAAATTTAATATATCAATTTAGAGTATTATATACAAATACTGGTTGCAATTTATTTTAAATTTTAACTAAAGTTTTAAATTGAATTTATATTAATCAAAAGTTTTTGTCTAGTTGATATTTAATATAATAACTTCAAAACTGTAAATTGTAATTGCTTTTGTAAATTACTGATCTAATAAAATCTTTGGCATATTACAATATATAAGATATAACTTCAAAATTTTACTTTTTGAGTCATTATAATTATTTTGACAATTTTATATTTAAAATATAAGATTGCATATTTTTATCAATGTTTTCATTTTGTAAAATACTAGTGTATAACCTGTCACATTGCTCCAATTTTAAAGCATATCTTCCAAAATGCATTTAAAATAAGCTATTTTGTTATTTTGTATTGATATTTTATAATGATAAATACTTTACAAATATTTAAGTAGAGCAGTATTACATAATATATAACTAATCAAATTATGAAATTTTGCTAATTATCATTAAAGTAATTCAAACAATAAAAAATAGCAGTCTCAAGTAGGTTTAGTAAACTTGCTGGAAAGACAATTTTGCTTATATATAACTACCTTAAATTTAATCTAAAAGGATACTAATCCTTAAGTTAATTCAATAAATATATATAGTATTATAATAATTTACTCTGCTTTACTGTAGATATCCCTAATCTGCAGGCTCTGTTATATATATGTATGTACCTGCAGCTATATGTGATGCAAAATAAGAGATGACTAATTAGATATAATTTGTCTTACAGTGTTTGTCTTATAGTGTTTGTTTTATAATGTTTGTCTTATAGTGTTTATTTCTTTGTATAACACTACTATGTATTATATAATAAATTATTACTTTAAAGTCTGTGTAAATGTAATTTTATTAGTAAAATTTTTAAGCAGATATATATCAATATATAGTAGTTAATCAATATATATTGATTAAAAATTATCAATATATATTAATTAACTACTATATACAAGTTAACAAAAATTAAGAAACTGAATTATAGTCAGTATTATAGAAGATAGTAAAGTAAATAATAAACTTGGTCCTACAGAAGTAGGTGTGTTGTTGATGAAGTACTAAGAGTATAAAACCAAGATGCAGTCTACTTTGGCTGGTTTTGGTAAAGGTCAAGCTTCTTGCTGGTAGACTCATTTATTTTTATTTGGTATCTAAACTAGAAGAATATTTTGGGAACACAGAATGCCTAAAGTGATACTAGGACTGTTATAAGCTTTATATCACTATACAACTGTAAAACTTACAAAGAACAATCACAGAAAAGCTTCATTGGCCCATCACTTTTTTTGAGGAAATTTTGTCAAAAAGTGAATGTTTTAGCTTACTCCTTCTAAAGATCGATATGTAATTTTTTAAAATAGTCAGTATTGTTTACCTGTTTACGTGAATCTATAAATAGGATTATCAAAACAGAATAACAGGCAGATGTACAGAATAAGCAACAGTATGGATTGTATGACAATACTTCAAAACTACTGGTTTGATTTTCGGGCTAACTCTATCTAGGTCGACTACAGTGTCTAGTTTTACCAACTTTTTTAACTTTTTTTACTCTTTAAGTATAGTTTATTAGGATAGAGAATGTTATAGAGCATCTTTATTTAGTAATATGTAATTTTTTAAGGCTCGACATAGGCTGATAATTATAATAGTCAGATTTAAATTTTTTTTTTTATCCTATCTTTTGTCTTTGTATTTGTTTTTTAGTATTAGTTTTCATCCTTTTTCTTTCCTCTTTTTAGGATTAATATTAGTATTAGTGGATTTTTTTTGTTTTTTTACTTTCCTACAAGAAGATGTTATCAGATTGGTGATATTCTATTGTAGGGTGGTGGTCTGACATTGCTTCTAGGGTTGACTTAGATTATTTAGCTTAGGTCATTAATCTGAGTTATTGAGGTCCTTTAATAAAGTTTAGCTCATTGCAGCTGGTCACTTGTAAGTACTCTTAAAATAACTGTGAGATGTCAGGCCTAAATATCAAGCTCAACATTGTGTTATACCTATAATGCAATAATCTAATAAAAGATCACTGGCAAGACAGCCTAAGTGAAAAAAAATTAATTACTATATTTAATATATAAAAAATTACTACAAATTATCACTAGTGATTATTATCAGATATAATTAGATATAACGTATAAATATTTTAAACAAAAGTTTATTTGTTTTGATATTAGGGTAAGGGTAATAGTTTGATAATAAGTTAAACAAAATCTATAGTAAAATTTTGTAAAAAATTTTTTGTTAAAGCCTGAAAGATGGTTTTATAGACAAAATTTAAAATACAATTGATTTTTTAAAAAATTCTTTGTTTTTTACACAAAACTGTTCTGCATATTATACTTGATTTTGCAAATTAATTGGCTAATTATACACTGATGATGATCACTAGTAGTGATAAATAACAAACTTTTAATATATATTACTAATAATTATAAACAAATAATATAAAATATGTCTATAGTATTTATAGTATTAATAAGTTTTTGGCTAAAATTTAGAGTTAGAATACAATTTTAGAGTAAGATAGGGGTTAGATATAAAGATCCAAATTTTAGTTAGTATAAGGTTTTTAGAGGTTTTGAATATTTTTACTTAGTTTCTCTGAGATGTGTTAATTAGAAATATAGCTAGAGTGTGGTGACTTAGTAAAGTGGTCAAGTTGTTACCTCCCAAGTGGCACATCCAGAGTTCAATTCTCACTGACAATGAAAAGTCAAATTCTTTTGTGCATTGATGACTATTTTGGATGTTGGGATGTAGATCCTGTAATGATGATCAGACCAAATAGGTACAAGGGGTAATGATAGTCTAACAGATGGCTTATCTCGTAAGCCCTAATTGGGGTAGTAGTACAGACCTGAAAGATCTTAGGGCATTTATGTAATAGAGAAGTTACATGAAGAGATACAAACTGATAAAAGGCAGTGTAAACCCACAATAAGTCTTCAAGATCTGTGTAAATCTGTTGGACTTTGTCCTGAATAAGAATCTGCTTAGCAAGTTCTGAGTAGAGAGGTAGCACTACTTTCGATGGTTCTGAAAAGTTTGAGAAGAAAACCAATAAGCTGTGGATCTGGACGAGGATCAGGTGTTTGGCGAGCACTATACTAACCAGGCCGCTAGAATTGATCAGAGGAAAAGGGCACAGGCTAGTATCTGGGTTAAGCTAGTAGGAAAGCAGGTAATGTAACTTGTAGACCAAACTGGGCTATCTGGATTGAAAGTTTGGTGAAATAGTAGAAGAGTTCCCGATTAGATGAGTAAGGGGCTGAGATAGAGTGAACTTTATAAGGGCAGAAGTAGATAACAGTAGGAGATTTGGCTTGCAAGTACTTGTTCTCAGACTAGGTGTAGGTTATCAAAGCTTAGATCAGTCTAAATGTGATATGAAAAGTTTTAGCAGGTTTATCTCGAGGTCAAAGGACTCTTTAAAATGGTAGAGTCTGCTTTAAAGCCCTAAACCAGCATGTGAAAATAAGGTGGTACTAAGTATTATGCTTGAATATAAAAGGGTTAGTACATAAGCGCAGAAGGTTTAAATAGTTAACCCTCCTAGTGGGGTGCAGATATGGCATTTAGTGTAAACCTTAGTAATAGGCTGA